GGGAAAAGCATTTGAATAGACACTTCTCCAAAGAAGACATATAGATGGCCAATAGAATATGAGAGAATGCTCAGTGTCACTAATTATCAGAGAAATGCAAGTTAAAACCACAATGAGATAGCACCTCACACCTGTCAGAATGGCTATCATCAATAAATCAAACAACAGTGTTGGCAAGGATGTGGAGAAAGGGGAGCCCTCACATTGTTGATGGGAATACAGAGGTGTAGCCACTGTGGAAAGCAGTATGGAGTTACCTTAAGAAATAAAAACTGGAACTGCTTCATAATCCAATGATTCCTCTTCTGGAGATTTATCCAAAGGAACCCGAAACACTAATTTGAAAGACTATATGCTCTCCTATGTTCATTGCAGTGTTATTTACAATAACCATGATCTAGAAACAGCCCAGTGTCCATCAGAAAATGAGTGGATGAAAAAAAACTGTGGTACATTTACACAATGGAATACTACTCTGCTGTAAAAGAGAAGAAAATTTCACCCTTTGCAACAGCATGGATGGAGCCGGAGAACATTATGCTAAGTGAAATAAGCCAGTCAGAGAAAGACAAGTACAATATGATTTCACTTGTGTGGAATTTAATGAACAAACTGAACTACCAAGCAAATAGAGTCAGACTCAGAGAGCAGGCAGATAGCTCAGGAGGAGGTATGGAGGGACTGAGCAAAATAGAAAAAGAAGTTATGAACAGGGACAACAGTATGGTGGTTTCAGGGGTGGAGAGGAATGGGTGGAGGGGGTAGAGGGCATAGAGGGGATAAAAGATGGTTGAAAAAATAAAACGAAGTGAAGTTTTATAAAAAAATGATCACACACTGTCAGAGAAATTTTTCAAGTCAATCTAAGAGACAAAATTCTCCCTACACAACTAAGTGAAAAAAGTTTGTTGATTAGTCACTTTTGAGGAAAATCATACAGTTGCAGACTTTGAATTATTTGAGATGCTCAGCTGTGTACTGTATCTTATACATGTACTCATTCTCTTTCCAAAGACTGAAGTACCTGTCTCTGATTTTGATTTCAACAGTGGACAGTTTCTCAGTTACTTTAAAAAGACAAACTTTTTATTAACATGATTTTTAAGGTGTTTAATAAAGTTCAGGGGTTTTTTTTTGGTTGTTGTTTAGTTTTTAATAGGTAAGGATTGTCTATGGTTTAAAATTCAAAAGGTATACAGAAAAACGATTTTTTTCTTTGGTCCACAGTCACCCTGTTCCTTTCCCTGGAGGCAGGAATTATTTGAAATAATGCATCCTTCAACATCAAATAAGAAAAAGTCCTAAATATTTTCATGAATTCTACTTAATATGTTCGTTCATTTCTATTTCATCAAATTTCATAGAAATAAACAGTGACTGGCAAAGAGCTGATGCTGCCTGGAATAAAATGCAAGAAGAAAATATTATTCCTCGTGCGAAGACATTAAGATTATTAGCAGAAATCCTTAGAAGCAATAATCAGGAAGTTCCATTTGATGTACCTGAGGTAATTTGTTTTTAACTGTAAGCATAACGGATTTTCCTGTCAATATAACTTTAGGTCATAGATTAGTCCAGTTTTATACTGAAAAGATCACCGTATTTGCCACTTTTTGTGTAACTGAATAATTTTGTTTTTAAGTTGTGGTATGAGGATGAAAAAGATTCCCAGAATACTCCAGCACCATCACTTGAAGAAGTTAATTTACAGAAAGATCTGTTGAGTGCCTGCCAAAGGAAGAAAAGCAAAGGTAAGCATGTACGCTAGGGTGTTCTTTCTAATAGCAACATGGATCTAAGCCCAACAAATTAGAGTGTTTATAGGATAGAGATGGAACTGTAATTGTATATATTAATTCTTATTTTTTAAATTAATAAAGACATTTTGGGGCAATTGGGAAAATTTAAATACTGACTGAGTGGTAGGTAATATTAAGGAATTGCTCTCATTTTTATTAGGTATTATAGTGATAATTATGATTTCTAGGAATATGTCCTAAAATTGGGAATATATAATAAAGTATTGACAGATGAAAAAAATCTAGATTTTTGTAATTTATTTTAAAATACTTAAGCTATAAAAAACAAGAGCAAATCTGGCAAAACGTTAATTATTACTGTAGGTAGGTGATGGATATCTGGGGTTCATTATTCTTTAGATTTTTCTGTACATTTGAAGTTTTTCGTATTAAAATAGGTATACATTTTTTCAAAATTACACTTTGAAAATAGCATTATGAAAAAAATTTTGTATATAAATTTTACTATATTTTTTGCTTTTATTTATTTTTATTATTTTAAATATATTTTTATTGATTTCAGAGAGGAAGGGAGGGAGAGAGAGATAGAAACATCAATGATGACAATCATTGGCGGCCTCCTGCATGCACCCCACTGGGGATCGAGCCCACAACCCGGGCATGTGCCCTTCAGTCCGCAGGCTGACACTATCCACTGAGCCAAACCAGCCAGGGCTTTTTTGCTGTTATTTAAAAGCAAAAAAGCGTTAGGGTATTAACTACCCTAATCATATTGTGTGTTGAAGTAATTAGGCAATACAGTAGTCTCCCTTCATGTGTGGGGAATATGTCCCAAGACTTCCAGTGGATGCCTGAAACCACAGTAGTACTGAACCCTTTATATACTATGTTTTTTCCTATCACCCTTACCTATGATAAAGTTTAATTTATAAATTAGGCAAGTAAGAGATTAACAACAATAACTAATAATAAAGAACAGTTATAACAACATATTATAATAAAAGTTAAGTGAATGTCACATTATTAAATAAAATAAGAGATACTTGAACACAAACAAGCACTGCAAAATAAGACAGTCGATCTGATAACAGACATGGCAACTAAGTGACTAATGGGTGGGTAGCATATACAGTGTGGATACACTGGACGAAGGGATGATTCACGTCCTGAGCAGGACGGTGCACTATTTCATCACACTACACAGAGCAGTGTGCAATTCTCCATTTAATATATTTAGGCAGCAGTTGACTGAGAAACTTTGAATAAGGAGGGCCTACTGTATGTTATGGCTGGAGACAGGCCATGAGCCCTGTTTCTTTATTTACTTCCCTGAAGGCATGCCTACTTTTACCGTGAATACTTTAAAAGTTTTATGACCATCTTGAGCCCTCTGATGTAAGCTTGCCACTTCATGCCAGCTATTTTCACTTAGACTTTGTTGTACTCTCCCAAAATCAAATATTACTATGTTTTCTTCAGTTTTGTTAATTTGTCTCCATAAAATGGTACCATTCATTATCTTTAAGTCCTTCAGTTTTTGTGTGGATTTTCAAGTAAGGTTTATGATAATTTAACTAATATGTAGCAGTTTTTTTTCAATTTTAATATTGACAGTTTTCAGTACTGATCAGTAGAAAGAAATTAATTTAGAAATTTATAGAACCTCTTAATTTCTTGACTTAACTAGAAATTTTGTGACACTAACATAAAATGTATGAAATTCGAATAAGCTAAGCTTCTATGCTCTGTCAGTCATACAGAGAAACTTTATTCTTTCTGAGTCAGTTTTCATAGCTGCACATTCAGTCTATTCACCCTTGAGTCTTTCACCATGCAGCTCTTCAACCTAATTGTAAAATTAATTATTATCAATACTTCTTAAATAGTCTAGTGGAGTTTTGACTTAACTGAGATAAATGTAAGTTTAGTGGATAGTTTTTGGTTAAAGATTCCAAAACTCCTTTATGTATTGTCTTTTAAAAGTTTCTGTTTTATTTAAGTAAAATAATTTAAACAATTAACTAAATAAATGCAGTGTTTATTATAAATGTAGAGCTACATCCCTATTCTAGTTTTAATATACAGTTTACACTTACCTATTTGGTTTCATCCTGTTAATTTTTTCAGAGCTTTTAGTCACTTTTTTGTATATCTTGGATTTGAATGCTTAGCAAAATATTAATGCCTTGAGAAGTGAATGCTTGCATTAGCACTTCATCAAATTTCTGATAGTTCGGTATACTTAAAAGGATAGTGTGACTCTCATGCCAGAAACAAACTGGTCAATGAGTTTGGTGTATTACAATGATGCTTTTTTTCTTTAAACTACTGAAAAATAATAAGCAGCCATAGTAATTTGTGTGAAGACTACAATTTCTAGAAAACAACTAGTAAGATTTTCTAGATTATTTTATTGATCTTAAATATTCAAATCATACATATTATTTTCATTCAGCAAACTAGTGAACTGTTATATATGCTTGTTGGAGAGTCGACACTATTTGTATTATATCTTAACTTCTTAGCTCCCTTAAAAGGAAAATATATGCATTGTGTATTGAGTGATAGTCCATTCTTTTTTAGTTAATATACAAATATTAATGTCATACCTTTGCTCTCTTGTTTTCTGTGAATTTAACTTGAAAGGATAACTAAGTTTTTGATATGTCATTTCAGTATAATAGAGGGGCTAATGCAAAATCCCCTAATTATAAATACAAGCCTGGTTTCTGCTTGTTTAGGAAACACTGAAATCGCTCAGAATGTTCTTGTGAGCATTAATATCAAGTTCATTCCTAGCTGTATGTTCTAGTATATCCATAGAAGGTTGTATCTAACAGTTCAGTTATGCCAATCTTTATTGTGATTTGTTTATACACACCAGAGAGTGGATTGTAGTTTCAGTTGGATGTTTATAGCCAGGCAATTTTATTTCAGAAAAGTAAGTGACTGAAAAGTGTAGATACTTCTCTTTTGGTAACATCTTTTCATTCACTGACAGTTATTGTGAACAAGTGAAATAAAACTGTTAATCAGTCAAACAAATGTTGCTTAGTTTACTTGTTAGATATCTGTATATTTGAAAATTGTATGTTTTTGTATAAGTCCTGTCGCAGCCAAATAATTTGATCTCCTAATTTTAGAATTATAGGCTATATTCACTTTAATGCTATTGTGTGGAAGTGTTAACCATTGTAACCACCCACTTATAGATTAAAGATTGCTTTAAAATGAATCTCTTGCTCCCCTCAATCTAAATTATACCTCTGCTTTATGTGGACTTTAAGACACATTTTGCAGTTTACTTCAAACTGGTATCTTTTGACAAATTCAGAAGAGCTGTTTCTAATTTTATGGCATGAAAATAATTCATTGACTTTTGAAAGCGAATGTGAAAAATAACTTTAAAAGGGAGGCCCTTTCAGGTATCATCCATTTGGATTAGGTAGTAGTTTTCCAAACTCACTTTGTATTTTAAAGATTAGAAGAGAGATAGCATCTGCTTGCATGAGCAGTGTATATGTCTCTGTATAGTTGCTAAAATTTAAAAGAAACAAATATGTGGGTTTAGGGCTATGTTTTCGTTTTTCTCCCCCCTCCTCTTTGGCACTTCAGAATAATGTCCTCTCATTTTTCTTGTTTTACTTTCTTCATAGATGCATATAATATTTTCCTGAAAGCACAAAAGCAAGATGTTGTGTTTGACAGTGAAACTTACAACAATCTTATAAAATTACTGTTGATAAAGGATAGCTTTACACAAGCAATGCAAGTGAAAAATTTGTAAGTATTAGTCCATTTATTATACCTCTTACTTTAAAAAATATCATCTGTTATTAAGGATTTTTCTAATGATGTATTGTAGCGGTTTCTCAACTACTCACAAAAGTCATATGAAGTGGTTTTCTAATTTTATGGGTTTTTTAAACCTATAAAGTATGCAACCTTTTCTGGCCCTACATAGTGCAACACCTTTTATTTACATTGTGTAACCTCGTAACTCATTTATGGTACCCATAGACCAGGGGTGGGCAAACTTTTTGACTCGAGGGCCACAATGAGTTCTTAAACTGGACAGGAGGGCCGGAACAAAAGCATGGATGGAGTGTTTGTGTGAACTAATATAAATTCAAAGTAAACATCATTACATAAAAGGGCACGGTCTTTTTTTTTTTTTTTTTTTTTTTAGTTTTATTCATTTCAAATGGGCCGGATCTGGCCCGCGGGCCATAGTTTGCCCACAGCTGCCATAGACAGAAAAGTAATTTGTATCATGTTCTGTTTCTTGTTCAGCAGCTTGATCCACGCACGCACGCTTTGTGGTAGGAGCAGCCTGGCGTAATGAAGGATTTGAATCTTACTTGAAAGCTCTATGACCTTTGAAAAACTACCTCCCAATCTGAGCCTCAGTTTTTCTCCTATGATGAGTGCATAATAATATTCACATTAAAGAATTCTGCTAGATATTGAAAGAGATTAGCGAAGTAGAGAAAATATAGGTGCTCAATGCATCTTAAATACACCCCCCCCCTCCCCCGGTTGTGTTTTTTGTATGATTTTTATTTGTTTTTAGTGTGTTTGGTGGTGTTGGTATTAGTGGTGGTAGTGGTTTTGCCTCTCTGGCTAGTTCCCTAGATAAAAATACTCAGTTGCTAAGTAAATTACGTATTTTAAGAATACTCACTGTATCCGCAGTTAGAAAATTTGACAATGAACAACACCCTGTCATCTGTAACCATTGAAGTCATCAAGAGGGTGTAGGTTTTTTCCTAAAATTACTTTTCTCAGGAAATTATTATCTACAGTCTCTCCCGACACTACCCATTATAATCAGTGGCATTCTGAAGCAACAGTTATTTGGGAGGAAGGGGAAGTGGGAAAAATAAAGGAGCATTTGTATTGAGAGTTGGGCATGAAAAAGTGGATGGATAGAAGCAAAGAAGGAAAACTTAAAAACTTTTAATCCTGAGGTTGTTTAAAAGCCCTCTAAAATACTTTCCAAAAGCACAGATTATAATTTTTTATTTTAACCAGACTTGTTCTAGAACAGCGAACCTCAGATTCTGGTAGCATAAAAAGATTCCCTCTAGGCAGAGGCTCTGATTCAGCTGATCAGGGGTCTGCACTTTACTGAACACCCAGTGATTCAAGACTCACGTCTTAAACATTTTGATCACATACCGTTAATAGTGAATTGTACTAATGTCTCACATGTAAGTATATCATAAAACATAAAAGGATAAAGGATAAGTTTTAAATAGAAAGGTTTAAACATTTTGTTGCCTCACCCGAGCATTCACACAGTGTGCATGCCTTCGCTGAAGACCATTTTCATAAGTAGTTTTTCAAACGAGTTTTAACCAGTTAGTGGGTCATAGAGTGTATATAGTGGGACAGAACCAAAATTTTAAAAACTGAAATAGCCCTGACTGGTTTGGCTCAGTGGATGGAGCGTCGGCCTGCGGACTCAAGGGTCCCAGGTTTGATTCTGGTCAAGGGCAAGTACCTTGGTTGTGGGCACATCCCCAGTGGGGAGTGTGCAGGAGGCAGCTGATCGATGTTTCTCTCTCATCGATGTTTCTAACTCTCTATCCCTCTCCCTCCCTCTCTGTAAAAAAAAAAGACTTTCTATACTCTTGTGGTCACTATTATCTTTGTATTATGCAGTATTCCATTATTACACAGCTACCTTCCTTGTGTAGCTGTGAGGGCCTAAGAGAATCCTAGATACAAAGCCTTAGAATGCCCAGAGGCACCTGATCTGAGGATTGGATGCACATCCTTTCCCTTGGACCAGTAAAATGTTTTATATAACTATGAAGAATTGTGTTGTGGGTTAGGTCTACATTGAAAATAACTCTGGACTGGAAATTCAGAAGTGGAAGTCGTAGTTCCAGTTCTCTAACTAATTAACTATATTACTAAAGGATTGTCACCTAACTTCTCTGGATTCATTTCCTGGTTTATTGACAACATAAGGCCCTTCTAGCTCTGTATCTATGATTGGGGTAAAAAGAATTGTTGCTTTGTTTTATAGGCATCTTTATTATAATATGGTGTAACCAAGTGAGCCACATAGCAAGAAGCAGTATCCCTTGCTCTTTTTCTGGTGCTGTTACTCTCAGTTAATAGCAGTGAAATAGTAGTCTGTTGCTGTAATGACCTACACAATGCCACTTGTTCAGTCTTCCCTATGAAGTAATAGAAAGTGCAGTCTTTGTTGTTGCTATACTTTTGCTGCCACTAATGTGTTGCAGATTCAGTTGACCTCTAATGAGATTTTTTTCAGTTTTATTCACAAGATCATTTAATCTTCCCAACTAGTAATAGAACCTAAAAGTATCAGCAATAGCTGCCTTTAAAACTTTGAAAGGAAACAAATTTTTTTCACTTTTAGTTAGAATTATAACTTTTCTTTATCTTTCAACATAAAACTTTAGGTATAGTGAACTATTTCAAGGGAATGGAACTGCTTATTCAGAGAACAGTAAGGGATATAAATTATTGTTAAAATGTCTGATGGCCTTGGATGGATTACTCTGGTGGTTAGAGCGTCATCCTGATACGCCAAGGTTGTAGGTTCATTCCGGGTCAGGGGACATACAAGAATCAACCAATGAATGCATAAATGAATGGAACAAGTCAATGTCTGTCTGTCTCTCAAATCAGTAAATAAAAAATTAATAAAAATGAAATATCTGATAACATTAAACTGTTTTCTTAGGAAATTCTTAGCAGTTGCACTACTTTATCTTTCAAGAATAGCACCTTGTTTTCTCTTGTTCCTACCAGCTTCTTATTTCATTCTATCTAGAAATAGTGTTAAATAATTCACTGATGGTTTTTACTGGGTTGGCTAGTTGTTATCCAAACTGAGATAAATTATAATCACCAACTAATGTGCTGTGTGTGTTATATAAGTATAATCCATAGACGTTGTTGTTACTCTGAAATCTCTTAAGATGAAGCGCTCCCTACAATACTGTCATCTTTGGGTAATATATCAATTGTTGCAGTTGATTGCAAGTTAAAAGATCTATGCCTTTTATCCTTTGTAGTTACTTCCTTTGGCAGTTCTAAAAATGAAAACGTCTAGAATTCTGTGTTGTTCAACCCAATAGCCACTGTAGCCATATGTGCTTGTTTAAATTTAAATTAATTAAAATTAAATATAATTATTTCCATTCCTCTATCACATTTAGCCACATGTGGCTGCCCTGTTGGACAACATGGATAAAAAATCCTATCATCACAGGAAGTTTGATTTGTTAGTCCTGGACTAGATGGTTTTTCAAAAGGAAAGATCAAAACTATGGAACAGAAGTAAACTTCTTTAATTGTATTGTATGAATGAGTCCAATTCAAAGATCTCTGCCAGTAACTTTTTGTAGTTTTTTTTTCCTTTTTAAATAAAAAATATATTTTATTGATTTTTTTACAGAGAGGAAGGGAGAGGGATAGAGAGTTAGAAACATCGATGAGAGAGAAACATCGATCAGCTGCCTCCTGCACACTCCCCACTGGGGATGTGCCCTCTACCAAGGTACATGCCCTTGACCAGAATCGAACCTGGGACCCTTGAGTCCGCAGGCCAACACTCTATCCACTGAGCCAAACTGGTTAGGACAGTTTTTGTTTTTTTTTTTGCCAGTTTGGAATATACTTGATGTGATTGATTGCTTCTACATATGTAAAATAAAGTGTTTGGTATATACTGGAACTGCACAGAGTTTTTGTCTTCCTATTTATCTCACTTTAATATTTGTATTAAATAGGTAGCTTCACAAGGTGGGAAAGAAAGCGTTCTGTGTTTTGAGGTTTTCGAAAGGTTTATAATTCACACTTGATGTCCTTTAAAAGAGAACTTTTGTTACCTCATGATTTTAATAAATTTTAGGTAGTATTTTCAAGTAAGTATAGTATAATACATGTAATAATGTTGGCATAAGAAGTGAGCTTAATTTTAATAGCGTCTACTGTTTATTTAATCATGCTAACGATTGAGAAAGTAAATCCTTTATTTTAGGCAGTTTATAGTCTCCTGCAGGAGTTGTTGACTTAAGAGCTTTGGCAGATGGTACAAAGGAAAAGCGTTAAACTGAGCAGTGGGTGCTTTGGAGGGATTAAGAGGATCGGTTGGGGGATAAGAAAATCCTGCGTCTGGGGGTGAGGGGGGCTGCAGGGGTGAACCCCAGTGGCTGGAAGTGACAGAGGATGGGCACATCACTGTGTCTTTGGAGGATTTTCTTGGGATTGACGAGCACAATTTAGCAGTGACCCTGCTGTTCTCGAAGCCTGCCCGCGTCGGCAGGCTGAGGTTGGCAGCCAGATCGTCACTGAGCTTGATAAGGCAATGGCAGCAATTGCTTTTGCTCTTTTTGACCTGTGGAGATTTCCTAATCGGGCGGTGAGCCCTGGGGACACTGAAATTTCATCACAGGGGATGTACAAACAGTGTAGCAAACAGAAATCATCCCTGACTAGGGTTTGTTTGTTTTTTAAATCCTGTAGGTTTTAGTCATAAGTAAAGCAATTTTTTGCTCTTGGGTTTTAAAAAGTTGCGGGGGGGTGGGGGGGGTTAAATTTTTAAGTCCAGGACAAGATTGTTGTGTGAAATTTTAAATTTTAATGTAACAATGGTTTTAGTTCTACAGTACGTTCACCTTTAAAAACTGTATGATGACAGCAATTTAAAAATTAATCAACCAAGTGATATGAGGTTAGTTAGTAATATGCTTTAGTTTATGTTTAAAATATACAGTGCTGAAAATAAGTGTTCATTTTTGTTGCCGAAAGAATAGTTTTACATTTTATAATTATGGTGAATGTAGAAAAAAGAGGAAAAGGAATCCAGCTTAGGATACAGCAGAACAATGCAGGGCATGCAGTTATTTTAGTCATCTAATATGTCAGCATTCAAGAATCTGAACCGATTGTTTAAAAAAAATCTTGTACTTTGTTTCTTTTGTTGCTCATTTCCAACTTTGTCATCTGTCAGAATGCAAAAAAAAATTATCCTTCTATAACCATTGACAGGATAACACAAAAGCTGTCTCCAGGTCGATATTTTGCAGCAATATTTTTAACATACGAACAGTAGTTTTTATAATTTCACCTTGGTGCTCAACCATTTATTATCGTATCAGAAGCATGTCAGTAATTCCTTTCTAAATGTCTGCTTCTTTTAGCGCTGAGACCCACATCAAGGGCTTCACACTGAACGATGCTGCCAACAGCCTCCTCATCATAACGCAAGTTAGGCGGGATTATTTGAAAGGTATGTCACAATGCTTGACCTTTACGTCACATTAATGCCTCTGCAGATTTTTCTTGTAACGCCCTTCGAATACTTGGATAAAGGAGTCCATTTAGCAAATTACCTGCTTATCAAGAGCCTTTTGTGGTAGCTGAGAGACGTAAATTACTGTACATGCATTTATAATACAGCTTGAATATGAATGTACTTGTCATTTGACCACTTAGTCCAGTTTCCATTCCATTTAACACAAGATGGGTTTTCTTAAGATGAATCACAGCTCTTCAGACATGCAAAATTTGTGTTCCAGAATGAGAGAAAGTACAGGCTTTCAAGTGCGTTAAAATTCACAGCACAAGTCACTTTGCTTTGGAAATTAACATACTTTACTTTAGAGCATCTGAAACAATTCCCAGCAGTTGTTTCTTGCATATTGTGTTGGTTGTGTGTGAGATAGCAAATGAGTTAAATTGAGTGTTAAATGTGTGGGATTGTGCACCAAATGATTATAATATTGATTTTTAAAACTTAATCTAATACTTTTTTAATAGTTCATAATACCATCAGTAATAAAATGTGTTTGTTTGGAGTTTGGAATTTAGAGTTTTTAAATAAATATTAAGAGTATAATACCAGAAAGATGTAGAGATGATTTTGGGGAGGATTGGGATAGGGGCTGCTTGTGTGGTAGAAGCTGTTTATGGGTTTGCTGAAGAATGGTTTTGGATCTGGAGATCTTATGAATGCGCTCCCCAGGGGGAAAATGATGAATCTTAAATTTAGGTAAGCATCTTTTCACGGTTAGGTTTACATTTGAATTGTAGTCACTATAGTAACACCATAGTTTTGCCAGTATGACAAAACCCACTTAGGAAATCTTTAAGGAATGTTGAAAAAAGCTTTTAGCTATTCAATATGTTACCTATTTCTTCCTCAGTCTGTAATAATGATGTTATTCCTCACTTGCGTGTTTATTAAATAATGTCATATCCCTCAGAGAAAGTTGCTCTCTGATTGTGTAGCGTTAATGTTGTCTGTAATACCTAAACGTGCTGATCTTTAGATGTCTTCCTAATTGATTAGGACGGACTATGTAAGTGATGGTTTTCCCTTTGCAAAATTTTCACCTCAGCAATCCACAGGCAGGGCCAGCCTACACAGTCTTTTTGGACAGCCTGAAGTCATAATTGAGTGTTGTAGGGCTTGTTTTTAATATTTTAAAAGCTTTCATTTTCAAAAAAGGCTTTTTGTCAAATTGGTATTTTAGTTTATATATATCTGTAGGCACGAAGATAAGAATAAAACACTTCTTTAATTTCAAGGTATTAATTTTTGAGCTGAACCTGAACTGAATTTAAGTTGACTACTACCCCCTACTTATATTGTTAGATACCCTGGAGAAACCATAAGAAACTTTGACATGTAATTTTCACATCTCAGCTATTCAGTTGAACTGGAAGTTGGCTGAGAGCAGGAGCTATGAGCCACCTCCTGTGCCTCACCACAGATTTACTATTGTTAAAATGATATGGGCAAGGATGGGAATGGTGTTGGCACTGCCCCCATGTCTTTATTTTGCTCTATGGCTGAGCTCCCAATTTTTAAAATCCTTTTTTTTTCAGGTTTCTTTTTCTCAGTCTCATCTAAAACAGGAAGAAAAATAAAGTCAATTCCATTTTAATCTAATCTTATAAGCGAATACTGTTTTTGGAATATTAATAGCTGATACATGTTGCAATATAATCAATATGACTAATAAATTAGGTGAGAGTGAAAAGGATCAAATGTGGATAGGTACCAATTTTTATTGTCTCTTAAGTCATAAACTGTAGAGAAGGCAGGTCCTGGGAATATGATTTAGGTTCTAAAGTCCCATACTCCTTTTGGGTAAATATGATGTGATCTCTTCTCCTCGATCCTCCACTGTCATGCGCATGTGCATTGATGCAGCCTGTGAGGTGGTTAGGTCCTTGGGGTTAGTCCCTAGCAATATGACTGGGCAAATTTAAACTCTCTGCCTGTTTCTCACCTGTAAAATTGGTACTTGGGTAATTGTGAGTGTAGTTGCTTACTACTGTGCCTGGCATGTAGTAAAGACGACATATGTAGTTAAAGCTCAATAAATGCTAGTTACTATCATCATCATCACCATTATCTTATTTTTGTTATTATTTTAATTCACTGGTGAAAAAATCCTCCTTATCTGACAGTATTCTTAGTTAATAAGAATATCCTGAAATTATCTGTGTATGACCATCAGTTAAAAAGATGTTATCAAGCTTGTTTTCTATGACATTAATAACATTTTTTGTTTCCTATATGTACATATTTATAAAATTTTATTGAATATGCCTTTTAAACTACCTGTTTTCTCTTTTCCCCATTTGAGAATCACTGAGATTTGGAGTTAATATAAATTGTTTATTCAGTAATAAACACCGAATTCATTGTCTTTTCACTGTATCACTTTTAATAGACTTTAATTATTACTCTTTCC